AAGTGAGCGATCTTCAGTTCTAACTATCATAACACAGCAGTGCGTGTGAGAAGATCTTCTATCTCTTGATGGTAATTTTTTTCTCCGTCATTATTAGCAAAGTGTTGAAATTAAATTTTTTAAATAGAACTAATTACGGTTAACCAAGACATGTCGGGGTCTCCAGGATTGCGGGAAGCGTTTTGTTTTTATTTTTTCCCATCTATTTCTGGTTAATAATTTAACATTTTAAATTCCAAAAGTAATAAAAAGAGTGTGGAAAATTCTTACCAAAAAAGAAAGTGCGTGTGGAAATTATGACGACATCTTGGATTGTTCTATCCGACAAGGGACGTGGAGAAGCGAGCGGTTGCCTCACACGCGCGAAGCACGTGCTGAGATTGTGGCGTGTAAAGATGAGAGAGAGAGTGGGCAGGTGAGGCGATGCGTTTGAGGTCGAGTGGTTACCGAATCTGCGGGTGAAGTGGAGAGGACATGCAATGCAACATATTCAACCCTAAACTCTAAAACAATAAAAATAATAATAATAAAAAGATAAGAGGAGGTTGAGCTAACGACCCCACCAATGCAATGATAAAATAAAAGAAAGCATATTCTAATCCAGCTCGCCACGTTGCAAAATCATGTGGTTCCTTTTTGCCTTTTTCTTACCGCTACTTTTCCGATATTTTTTTTGTCTTAACCTTGTCTATTTTTTTGGTTTTCCAGGGTATCCCCGTGCGACTGCAGAGACTAAATCCCTCGAGGTATGGTCAAGCGCAAAGTGGGGACCTCTCCCAACAGAGTCTATTCTATTCGCAAGTGCCTGGGATCGAACTCAGGACCTCTTGTTTAAAGGATCCAAGCCCCTTCCACTTGGACCAACTCATGTTGGTAACCTTGTCTATTTTTCACAACAACAAAAAAACATACAAAATTATAATGGATATTTTCTTATTTTCTATATTTATTTTTATAGTTTTATAAAATTTAATTAATGATCTTTAGTGTTTGTTTGTTTGTTTATATATGATTCATGACATGTTTGACACTGCTTTTACGTGAAATAGTTTAACTTATAGTGCTTTTTGTTACTAAAAGTGTTTTTATGAAACAATAAACACTTTTAAGGTTAAATTTTTATGCTAAACACTGATAGAAACAAGAGCGAAGCTAAAATTCTATAGAAAATACAAGTATACAAATTACATAAGTATTCACTAATTACATGTTTATAGCTAAATATTTATAATTTAGTCATGTCTAATTTATTTTATATAGAATTTTAACTTAAATTATAAGTTGTTTTATTACAAATTCTATATGTTATATATAATATAATAGAGAAGAGATCAAAATCTAAAGGGATTCCAGGCTTAGAAGTGGCTCCCACTAGATAGAAACCTTTTTTTTTTTTTTTTTGAAAAAATGCTTTTAGTCATTTCACTTATAAAGAACAACAATGGAACTTTTTTTCTTCCTCTCGATAAGAATGATGAATCAAAAGTCAAAAAGGGTGACCTTTTCCTGTGTGGGATACAAGATTGATATATTTATTCAAAAACCCATTTTAAAGATTCCACTCCCACCATGTTAATTGGTTAATGCCGTGTTAATCAACAATGACGATGCATCAATGTAAACAAGTTGATTATTGATTGTTAATTTAGTGCTTCTGATTATGACGTGTTGTTATTTTTTAATGTATTTTCTTAAGGTCAATAGTGTTATGCATTTCATTATTTTTATGAGGTGGTCTTTCTATATGGTGAGGTCAATCATTTCGGCCGAAAGAGAGAGATATACATATATTTTATTTCTTTTTGGGTATTAATTTTGATATATTTTATTAAATGTGTGGTGGTTCACACAAAGAGTTCTGAGCTCCAAATTTCTCGTATTTGTTATCTTTTAATAATTTATTAATATAAATCTATGATGCATATATTAAAAAATATAAACTCAATTGGATATGACTGTTTTTTGTTTATAGCTCAAATCATGCTACTGCTACATATACCACTACATAGTTAAAATGTCAACCCAATAGTCAACAATTTACAATGTCACCTTATTAGGATAGTTGACATGGCAAACATAGTGGAAAGCCAATTATAGTTGGGTGTAGAACAAGTACTCTTTGATCACTAGATTTACAAGCTCTTAATTCTTTTATTAAACTTTTAAACTCAAAACTCCTAGATTGCAATACTCATTTGTAGGGCTGGAATCTTAACAAGATAAACCAATAAACTCACTTAACCAAGATTGTCGGTTTTGTCGATTTCGGCTGCAGAGAGGAAATGTCAGTTTCGAGTTGATTACCTATACTAACAGACACATTCAAATGTCAGTGTTGGTACTGGGATTTTGGATACCTTCGGTAACAGAATTGAACTAACAAATATTATTTAATATATCCAATTAATATTTTAAATAGATGTAAGATATGAGTAATTTAGATTACAAATCAATTTGAAGGCCCAGATTCACTCTCTCACTCACCTTCTACGATTTCATTGCTCGACTCTCATTTATATCGAACTCATCGCTCTCTTCAACCCTCTCAAAGCCACAATCATTGGTCCATGTTGCCCTATATCTCTCAAAGTTTCAATCGGCACCATTCTCTCAGTCTCAAACAATTGCCCATTGCACCATCAAAGAAATTGACAAGAATACTACTTTGTCCTTGAATTGCTACAAATACGAAACTATAATGGCAAAATTGACGAAATTGAAACTACATGGTCAAAAGTGGTTGAAGTGCCAAACTACAAGGACCAAAAGTGACTTTTGGCCTTTTATTTTTCAAAGTAAAATTAAATGTTTTGAAGAGTCAATGTCAACTTACCAGTTATGAAGAGAGATAAAGAGGTTGCAGGTTGGAGGTGCTCTTAATATTTCCAATCAATTCTTCGTGTACATCAATTACTCTATAGTATATATATTTATTTATTTTTCCAAGAATAGATTTTAAGCTCAAATCTTCTTTTTATATTGATTAAAATAAAATAGAGTAAATCGTCATACACCCCCCCTCCCCGAACAAGAACCATAATTGAACTTAACCCCCGAACTCAAAAGTTAGCCAATTTAACACCCGAATTAATTAAAATGGCCAATTTAGGCATTGCTGTTAAGTTTTGTGAATTTCATCCAATTTTCCGTTAGTTATAGGGGTAAACTTGTAGTTTCGAGTAAAATAAATCAAACAAAAATAAAATAAATAATAAATAATAAGAAAAATGTACGAATCTACCTTCACAAACCCATAAAGCAAGGTGGAAAATAAGAAAGACCCAGATGAGAAAAAGCATAGAAGAAGAAAAGAGAGGACCTTTCTTGGCCAACAGTGTCGCAAATCCGAGCTTTGATGCCATTTCCATCAATATTCAAGGTCCTGGTAGCGAATTCAACCCCAATGTTAGACTTGGTTTTAGGGTAAACATCTCTAACGCGTAAACAAGAAATAAAAGAAACATGTGCCACTGCTAAATTACGATTATTGTGGAGAGCCTGTCGGGTGGTAGCCAGGATGGCGGGGCGGGAAGCGTTTATTAATTTTTTCCTTTTTTTTTTGACATAATTTTATTTTAGGTTTTAAAACGGCCTGTGGAAATCTCTAAAAAAAAAACCAGTGTTGAAATCATGACGACATATTGGATTATTCTATCTGACAAGGGGCGTTGAGATTTGGCCGCTTGCCTTCCACGCACGAAACACGTGTAAAGAATAGAGAGAGCGAGCTGGTGAGTTAGATGCGTTTGAGGTTGAGTGGCTACCAAATCTACGGGGTGAATAGGTGAGGACACGTGCACTTCATTCATCTCATCATCAACGGATTCAACTCAATCGATGATAAAAGATTAGACTTAATAAGAGGAGGTTGAGCTAACGACCCCACCAGTCCAGTACTAAGAAATGCAATGATAAACGAAGCATATTCTACCTTTCTAGGTTGCAATAATCATATGCTCTCTTTTGGCTTTTTTTTATTTTTTATTTTTTATATTTAGGTCCCGTTTGAAAATAAATTCCCATAAATTTTCTTAGAGAGAGGGAAATTGAAGATTCATTTGGTAAAACTGGGAATATATATATTAATTATAATTAATGCTTGTCTAGTTTCTCATAAGAGCACTTTCACTAGTTTACCTTTTGCCATGGCAAGGGGGGGCCAGGGTAGCTAATTCACGTGAATAGTGGCTGTTCTTGTAAAAGGTTGTGGTGTTTCCACCCATTGCCTTGACAACAATTATTCACATGAGATATCATGAGAGAAATTTGTATAGAGTTTTGGTGTGGGAAGTGAAAACTATGACTAAGTATTTATTTTTAAAAAAATATTTGAAATTTTTTGTAGAATTTTTTTTTGCTGATATCATCGCTGACGTTAGCAAACTCAAGCTTGAACTCGAGCTCATCTTGCTTGAGGGTTGGCCTGGTTTCGTGGGCCCCAGCAACTGCCCTTGCTGCTGGAAACGATTTTTTGGCCTAAACCCCCCAGCCCCCCCCACCCCACTATCTTCCTACTACAAACTATAGAAAAAAACATATATCTAAACTAAATAGTGAGGGGAAAAGATGAAGAAAGCTCCTATTTTTTGAGAAGAAGATGAAGGTCTTTGTGTTTAGTATGCCATTGGTTAATGGAAACATTAAGAATTGAAATGATTCATTAAATGAGGATAATATGGTAAATTCACTCTTTTTTATATTAAAAAAATTTAAAATTTAAAACAAAATCAGATTATGAGTCCTATTTTTATGAAACACAACTATTAATTATCTAAAATTGATTGGGCCAGCTTAATACTAGTACCAATTAAAATTGATTGGGTTCATATCAAAACCAAAACCCCCAAACAAAAAAGAAAAATAAAAGGTTTGGGTTGGGTTGGGCCTTTGGATTTATAATTGGGCAAGCTTACTATTACTAATTATAATCTATAAAAAAATATTAAAAAAAAAAAAAAAAAAAAGGGTCATTGAAGAGCGCTCATCATTAAGTCGGTATGTGCACCGCACGCTATTCGTCCCTCCAAATCCGAAACTTCGAAACCCACACACACAACTCAAAACAGCAAGCGCTTGCTTTGCTCCTTCGTTTCCTCCTCTCTCACTAGGGGCTAGGGTTAGGGTTAGGGTTTTGCGTGCTTGCTTGGGGTTCAAACCCTAGCTGCAGCAATGGCCAGGTACAGAAGCCGAAGCAGAAGCTACAGCCCTCGTCGACGCAGCCGGACTCCGCCACGTGGACGCAAGCGATACGACGACGACCCTCGTGATCGCTACCGTGAAAGCAGGTCTTACAGAGACCGTCGCTCACCCGCTCCTTCTGGCCTGCTCGTTCGAAATCTTCCTCTCGATGCCAGGTCTCTCTTTCCTTCCCTATGAATGCATTTGTGTGCACATATGTTTATATATATTTTCGTATTTATGTGTATTTTGTTTTGTTTATTCAGGATTAGTTATCTTGTTGGCTATATATGTTTATGTAGTTTATTCTTCAAATGTGGGACTAAATTTGGGTGCTAGTAATGAATTATTGGTTTTGTTTTTGTAATTGTTCATGCTATAATTTTCTATTTATGCGGATGAAATGTGTACAGAGGAGTGAATGTTTCTCTGTGTGTTTGTGTTTGTGTTTTATAATATACACATATGTTCGTAGTTCTGACACCAGTATTTTATATAACAATAACTAGATTTTACATGAATATAGAAATAATCCTTCAACAAATTGAGTATATTATGATTATGGTGAGTCCTTTTAACCACAAATTACGGATACATCAATTTTTCCACAACTATACCTGTAAGCTTCTTGTTGTTATAATTATCTTTTACAAAATAATTTATGGTTTATCTAAGTTTTTGCAGGCCTGAAGATCTTAGGATCCCATTTGAGCGATATGGCCCAGTGAAGGATGTGTATCTTCCTAAGAATTACTACACTGGGTAGGGTGGTCCCAGTTAGGGGTCATCAAAAGGGGGCAGTTTCAGTTCGGGATCATCTAGTGGCCGCAGTCATGGAGGTTTTCGACCGAGAGTAGGTTCCAGCGGAGGGTCTA